GAAAGGAAATAAATACTGTTTGAAGCATTCAAATAGTTCGATTCTTTCGGTTTAGATTTTGAAGGAGCACCGCTGCAGAGGAAGAGAGCGCAAGGAAGCAGAGCAAATACTTCTTCAATCCCAACGGAGAGAGAGCTCTTCGACATCAGAGCGGGAGCAAACTGCCAGGGCAACAACAGCCCAAGGCTCGAAAGAGGAATGAGCTTCGGTCGACCCTGCTTCACCACTGTTCTTGTTGACTCTAGAGGTACCACAACCACCACAGCACTCATCAACTCGAGTAAAGCAACACCATTTCGATGTTGTTCCAGAAATTTGCTGTGGTAATTACTGTTTCTCAGTTGAGTCTCCTGTAAGGTCTGGACGATCGAACAGCCATCACAGGTAAACAGCACACAGTAAAATCTAGTTCACAGCACTTGAGTAAAAATATTCTTTTATATATAAATTTCCAAATCCTGTTAACAGTACCTCAATTTAGTTAGCTGGCAAAGCAGGGCCATCTTTACGAGTTTTATCATATTTATTTTTGTCTAGCACGGAATTATTTATTCATTCATTAAATAAGGACTGTTTGGCAGGAAAGGTAGAAGAACATTGTGATATAGTTTAATCAGCCTTAGCAATATTTACATACATACCACTCAAGTCGTATGCATTTACATATCTAACATTTAAACTTCATTTTTTACATACATGCCAACTTACCTATGCATGAAAAGGTGTATCCCATTTTTAAAAGTAAAAATAGTAGAATTTTTATGTGATATAAAAATTTTGGGTGGTTTAAATATAAAAAGTAAAATTTAAGTTTTAGATATGTAGATACATTGGAGGTGTGGTGTGTATGTAAATGTCACAAATATTAATTATATGTTAACAAAAGTACTACTTCGCTTTACGGTTTGAAGCAAAAAAATAGTCTTCTGCATTGCATTACGCTTTGTCATGATCCGGTCCGGGGATTGAAATTAATCAAGACCAGTACAGGCAGTAGGGCGGTGTGAATGAAAATTCCGATGTCCATTTTCTATAACTAGTTATTAACAAAATAAAAGACCAACTAAGTAAATGAATTTAAAGCAGTATATTTGACTTTACCTTGTTATTGGTTGTCCACGTCTTCTATAAATATAATTTCTTTTATCGCTAATATTTTAATTACTTTGTTAACTTGAAAAGTTATTATAAAAAAATAATGAGATAAACAAGTCAATAATTACTCATGCTCTTAAACTACAACAATACAAAAAAAAGAAAAAATAATATGCAGTCAACATAAATATATCATTCATGTACTCATCACATTTAATTTTGTTATTACATTAATTAACATAACTTGCCTCAGTCACACCCTGCACGTGATAGTTTCACTGGATTGGGCTTCCTACCCGCAAGCTCCTCTTCTTCTCCCTTTTTCCTCTTTGCACGCTAGATGCGAGAAACTCGAGGACTTCTTGCAGAAAGCTGCGAGCGGCTCAATATCGATGTCGACTCCTTTTCTCGACACCGACGCCGCTACCGCGCCTCCCCTCCTAATACAAGCTTCTGCTCATCACTCGCACACACCAATCTCCTCGTAGTTAACTCATCTTTGTCTCATCATTTTATAGGCAAACTCGTCGTGTGGGCCGTTAATCCCCTCATTTCAACTTCCTACTGTTCGATTCAACTCCAATATCTTTGGCTATCTAACCTTCTCAATTTGACTCCCCTTTACTCAACTCCTTACACCCACTTGATAGTAAGTAGCTACATATGTTCTTAGTAATATGACTGATAAAGGAATATCTCAAGCAAAATAAAGCGTGTGCAAGTTTATTAACTGCTAAATCAAGAAACAAATTATTACTATAGATTAAAAGTGTGAGTACTCATCTCGATTTAGGGTTTAGGGTTTAGGGTATGATGATTAACCTTTTATTTGATTTATCTTAACCTTGTCCCTTCTAAAAATTGAAATCCTAATATGGTATTCAGTTATTAGAAATTTCATTTATTTATTTATATTATTTTAGTTAGCTAATTAAGTATAAAATTTTCATTATGTAATCCCGCTGAAATTATAATTATATATAT